AGTTTGAAGACATCATCCGGATTTGCGGCAATCGCATCACTGGTGAAATTTCTGGAATACCATGTGGCCACACAGGGGTCATGATCAATAGCAAACTTGGTATTGGTTGAGTACCCCATTGTCTCTAACACCTTAGCTGCTTGCGTCCATCCGCTGAAGGCCCCCGAACAGAATTCGCCAATGTCAAGTGCACTAGTGGGATGATTGCGACCAGTACGAAAAAGGCGCAAACCTGCCTCCAAGTCAAGGATTGAAACAAGGACCTGAGATTGCGAAAACTGGACCTTGCCTTGGAACACGATGGCTTCGATGTGATTTGCAATGAGATCAGCACATTGTTTTGGTACTCTTAGATAGATCTCTGTAACCTTATCGTGTGAACATGTTTCCGGCATCACATTCTCTTGGCAGAAGTGTGAGGACCATTGCAATGGAGATGGCTTCACAAATGCACTGAAAAGAGCTTGGTCTCCTCTAGCTTCTATAAACCGATCGATCTCGACAAAGGCAGTAAGACGTTGGACACACTGGCAGACATATGGACGTTGCACATGTGCACGAATTTTTCCCAAAATCTTATTCTTTGTCGATGGAGCGACTGTGTGCCATGATGCAGGTGTTGATGAATCTGTTGTTGGCTGAAACATGCCTCCGAAATGAAGCTTGTGGTGCGTACTCCAAATGTCCATGTGTGCGAGGAAGAAAACCCGCACCTGAGTGGCGAAAGTGATGAGTTCTTGATTTGGAGCGTGACGTGTCCACGTGCCAAGAGCCTCTTCAAAAAGTAAATTCTTAATCCGTGAATTGGGCATGACAGCAATTCTTTGCAAGAGAAGCGTTGTATCATGCGCTAGTGACACCTGAACGTGATCTTGGAGAGAGTGCAACAAAATCCACCCACACAGGTGTGGTGGTGATTGAGTAGCTGTAGCCTGGACATGAATACGGTCTGGTGAGGACTCTAAGATGGTGGCGACTGCAGCGAACAGCAGTGGCAGTTGTGCACTGTGAGGGTCAGGCACGGCAGCCGTTAGCATCCACCGATTTTGATGCTTGATACCTGAAATAGAAATCCAATGATAATGATATGTGATGAAAAAGAGGACCTTGGTGTATCCTGCTACGGTAGGAAGATCGTCTGTGAAGGGTTCCAAGAGTTCAGATTTCGAATCAAAGTGCAAAGGACTTGGAATGTAACGGTCCAGCATCTGAAGGCGAACTGATGGTAGAACTATCTCGAGTTCGAAATTAGTAAGCCACGCTGGCTGGATCAGCATCGTTCGCAGCCAATTGATTTCTCGCTCTCGGTTTGTCGGAGGACGGGGTACCTGGCATGCTTCCCGTATGTATTCTTGAGTAGGGCCCACAAACATTGTGGTAGAGACGCCAGATGGCAATCTTGTATCAGGGCAGCTGCGTGCGTATTCGGACAAAAAGGCTTGTCGGCACACTGATGCGAAACGACACAGATCTGTGCAGGAGCATTGGTACGCCCCCAGTGATGTTGTGCTCGTAGAGTCACACGATCTAACTGGTCCTGATGTTGCTCCGTGACATGAATAAGTGGTTGGAGACAGGTTTGCATGGCAAAATTGAGGTACCACCGGTGAAGGATTGTCCATCCACACATAGTCACAATTTCATTGTCCGAATTGACGGTAACCAGCATGCGGTGCGATGGGATCTGCAGAATTCGTGAGATCTCCAGCGTGATCATAGAGTGGAATTCATCAGGCCACTGGATGAGGACCACATGTACAGGGGATGTTCTGCGATCGACTTCAACTGCGCACCAATGAGCTTCGACCAAAAATAGGAGCAAAGTCAAATAATGATTATTACACTGCAGTTGGTCTTCAGTTGCCATAAGGTGTCGGAGATCTCTACTTGGACTCCATTGAATCATAGGGCCAACAACGACACCTGACCGCCACTCTTGAATCTTTCTAAGGAACCACAGTGCCTCATCAGAAGCGAGCCACCCATCGTCTTGCAGTGCTGCAGCACACCTTTCCTCGAAAGGGGGGTTGGGATGCGTGTGCACCACCTGGCACTTCCCCCAAGCTGGATGTCCTCCACTGTATATAGCCTGGCTCCATCCGCAGAAATATGGCGTCTGAGAAGAGTCCTCATCCCATGAGCCACCTGCTGGTAGGGATGCACTTGATGTAGCTCGCGTCAAAGAACAGTCTAGCATCACATCAGCAGAAAAATAAGAATCGGATTTTGGCAACAACGTTCTTGGAGCTGCGACAACGTTATTCCGATGTTTTGGCAGTGTAAGTTGGTGAGTGCTGCCCCTTGAGGGCGAGCTGACATAAACTTCCTCCTTGAACTTGTTGACATAGCATGGTATTGTTGGGAAAATGCTCTCAGAAATGAGCCCGCCTTGTAAGCTAAATCTATGCGTCCATGTGTTGTCATCGGGTACAGCCCCACTGAAGATCGTAATCTGTTGTGGAACTTGAGCTGTTGTGAGAACCTTCTTAGTGCCATACTGTTTGACGGCGCTCAATTGGAGAGAGGATGACAGGAAATATGGCCATGAAGTAGCCTGAATCATGAACTTGTCATTGGGCCAAAGATTGGCAGAATGTTGTTGTGGATACCGAAACGAGGTATCTGTATGTCTGCAATCGAAAAGATAATGCTTCAGTGTATCGAAGTGGTTGCTGATATTGGACTCCGGAAGGATGTGTCTGGGTACAGCCCCACTGGATGATGAAGACTGTCGCAAGCCTGAGGTTGACAGATTCAATGGAAGTACCGTCAACTTGGGCGCACCTCTTGAATGCTTGTCCGACGGAACCTGGCCATCAAACACTGAGGATCTTGCAGGTAAAGGCAATAAATCAGACGGTAGTACGTGAGAGTCGAGCTTGTTGACGGGTACAGCCGCACTGGATGTGGTCAAATGCTGTAGCACTGGCAGCGCTACCTGCAAAGCGCTGTTGGACGTCCATGTCTCTGACATTGCTGCCTGAACATAGCAAAACTGGTCGTTGGTGTGGCCAATGTCGAAGAGCAAGCGGAATATGTGACGATTGTCAAAGAATGCCTGTGAACAGGAACGGTGAACAAAGGTGATACCACTCCCTTCCAACTGATGTAATGACCGCCTCAGGCTGTCATACCAGCTGTGGTCAGGAGCAGGAGCAAATCCATTGTAAATCATCGTAGGTTGCGGGCTAAATGATCGAATGTCGAAATTGCAAAAGTCGGATTGGAAGGCGAGGTCGTTGACGGGTACAGCCCCACTGAATGTGGTCAAATGTTGTAGCACTGGCGACACTATCTTCACAACACAGTCGGATGTACATGTCATAGACCTTGTTTTACGAATATCTGTAAGCAAATGTTCACACTCGTTGGCATTGCGAATAAGTGCCGCCTCAGTGTGAACAGGTAGCAATAAAGGCTTTTTGCTGTAAAGTAGGTGTTAACTTTTTGAAGGTAGGTGTTGGAAAGAGGACTCAAAATGTGATTGGGTTCATGACATGATCGTGTTCTAATGTCATGGATTGAAAATGGACTGGCTACAATCAGCGATTCTCAGAATATTGGGCCACTCGTAATCTGCGCGTGTACTTCTGGCATCTCTTGGCATATATTATTTTAAGCGTAGAATACTTGTCCACTTAAAATGAGTCATGATAGAACCACGTGCCGGAAGTATAATATGTATATATACATCGTATGTATCGCGCGTTCTATCCTGGTTTTGGTAACAACCTATACTGGATGGACATAATATTCATGGATCACACTCAATCTCAGCTGTCAGTAAACTGATGTCCTCAGTAAATTAGAAAGCATTCCATCTCATTGAGTTGTAATTTAAATTTAACAGCATTCCATTTCAGACTATCGTCAGATTTGTAGCCGTAGAGTTTGTTTGCATTTTCTTTTGCGCGGCAGAAAAAGATCAGCAGCTTTCACACCGTCCGTTGTCGAGCAAAAGCGCTGGGCAGCGCTAGTGCCCCCGTGCGCTGTTTGAGTGAAACATAAAAACCAAACGATGTAAACACAGTGACTCTCACTGCTGTGATTCTTTAACTTTGAAAGATCTCAACGTCCTGGTTACGTGATATGTCAACCTGATGCTTTTTGGAAATCGAAGGCTCGTCAACTCCAAGGCCGCTTCATTGTTCTTAGCTTTAGCCATGGGTTCTGTGAAGGCAGATCAGCTGGCTCATTGGATGGCTTGGTGCACCTGGACCTTTCAGCAAAACGAAGATTTCGAAGCCAGTCGTGAGTGCGCTCGCAACATTGTTTGCAAAGCGGGCTTGGATGATCACACAGACTGTCTGGTAAATTACTGGGTTGGCATTACCAAGTTCAAGGTGCTGCAGGATGGCCGCGACGCTTCTTTGGTCGATGATCTTGGAATGGGAACAAAGCCCAATCCAGCGTTTGGCATCAATCAGTTGAAATTCCAGAATTGCTACCAGAAGCAGTTCATGAAGTCTGAAGTTGGGGCCTTCAAGAGGACCTGTTCTTTGTTGAGCGCCACTGTGGACGCCTTGCTGTTGCCAAAGGAGGCAGATAGACAAAGTGTTCTGTCCTTCTTGGGTGATGTCCAAGACACTTTGGATATCGTCCTCACAGTTCTGGACTAGCAGGCTTAGACGGCTTTGCTATTATTTTGAGGCCACAGGCCACCAGATCTAGATTCGCCACAGAGTTCGAATCGGGTTTGTCGAGCTTCAGGGGTTAAAAGCGCTAAGGACACGCGTTCATGGAATGATTGACATGATCCTTCTTGCAGAGGTTCTTATTTTACAAGTTTGACCATGGCTCCGTGTCGCTGGAAACTTTTCAACTTCAGCTGTAATCCCCTCTAAGCGACCTCTATGGGCGCAGCGACCTCTGGGGCGCTATTTAGCTTGAAGTAAAGATAGAAAAGTTGGAAATTTTCCCAAAATAGGTCAAACATTGGAAGGTCAGTTCAATTTATGTTTTATATCACAAAGCGCTGACAACTTCACTGCCCAGCAGCCATGGGAGATTCTTCTGAAGTGGAGCTGCCGCCAGATGTTTCTTCAGATGATCCCGGCTCTCTGAAGGAGGAATCAGAAGTAGAACTTCCACCAGACGTCTTAGATGATGAAGTCGTTGGGGCAGGTGATGCCTCTCACAACCAGCATTGCACCTGCAGGCTGCAGTGTTTCACAAAATTTGCTCAAGAGAGTGTGGAGTTGCACCGGAATCAGCAGCTGGGTGACTCCAATTCTATGGCCAAGACCTTCCACAAGATCAAGCAGTTGGTGGACCAGCGGCCGGATGGCGAGGCCAACGCCAGAATTGGGTGGGCTATCGGTGAGGTCAAGGTTTGCCGTCCCTTCTGGGAGCACTATTACGCAGTTGGCCACAAGCAGGTGGATGACATGGTGAAACTCAGTAAGGCTGGGCACGCCCAGCTCCCCGAACGTGGCGCCCGGATGCCTAGGGAGAAGCTGAAGATGGACGAGGTAGACATGTGGTTCTTGAATCTCTACCAAGGTTCAGAGCCCACGCCAATGGAAGATCCTCCAGCAGGTAGGCTTGAGGAACTTGGCGATGATGACTCTTTGCAACATGAGGTTGTCAATTCAGTACATCATCCTCTTTACAGTTTGAGTGTTGCTGTTGGAGACGGGGTGAACAAGCAGCACCTTGTCCCAAAACGCTACTTGAATGAAACCAATGTTTCGTCACTGTGGAACCTCTACCAGAGTGATGAGAAAGTGCCTTCGAAGGTCTCCAGAGACACATTCAACAAGGCCTTCAAGAAGCATTGGCGTTCCATTTTACAATTCAAGGGCTATGGGCAGGGAACCCGTTGTCAATTGTGTGCTGACCTGGATGAGGAAAGAAAGCATTGCACCAGCAAGGAGGAGCGAGCATCGATCGACATTCGAAAGAGGAGGCATTATGAAAGAACTGACGCCGACCGCTCGATGAATGTACGGTCAAACCAGCTCTCTTGCTTTCCTGCCACTTTTCAGTTGAGCAATGCAGGCAGCAGGGTGGTCAAATTTATGGTTGACGGAATGGATCAAGCCAAGTTCAGGACACCAAGAAACTTGGCAGCCAGCTCGGCCTTTGCACAGTGCCACAGGCCGGCTCTGCATTTGACTGGTGTCATTGCTTTTGGGCTTTTGGAAGCATTTTTTTTGTTGGGTCCAGACACCAAAAAGGATGCAAATATGAACAGCACGTGCATCAGCATGACGCTGGATCTGTGCCGAAACCTCCTCGAGCGCCTTGGACCAGAGTATTCATTGCCCAGGCATGCCATTTTGGCTGCCGATAACACGCCTCGAGAGGCCAAGAACCAGATATTCGCCACGTTTGCAGGAAGCTTGGCGCAGAGGAAATTGTTTGATACAATTGAAGTCCAGTTTATGCAAGCTGGACACACGAAGAACGAGTTGGATCAGCGATTCAGCACTCTGGCGACGGTTCTGTCCAAGGCTCCAGTTCTGGAGACACCGGAGGAATTCGCTCAATGCATCAGAAAAAATGTCCAGCCACTTCATGGCAAGGAACTACATGTCATTGTCCTGGAGAACACTTGGGACTTCCAGGCCATGTTTGAGAAGTACCAATGCCAAATCAGTGGGCTCACCTCGACCCACCTTCAGCCCAACGCCAACCATCTGTGGCGTTTTGAACGCCGTGATTCCCTAGAGAGCAGTTTGATTGTGGAGGTGAACAACCCTAAATGGCAGGATTGTTCGCAGCACTCTGACGATGTGGTGCTTTCTGTGAAGCAGTTTCTGGGAATGGATGATGGAAATTTTTGTGTTTCTTTCAAACAACCTCACAATCACAGATGAATAGAATAATAGCGACCTATTCTATGGCATATGCGCTGCTGTTGTGTTGGGTTTTACTTCCAAGCATGAGGATGCCCTTAGTCCCAATGGTGAATTGTCATTCCAGGGGTATGTTTTACTTTTCTTGCAATTCACAAAATAACATTCATTTCAGGTATATGAGCTCTGCATGCCAGTCTCAGAGGCCTCAGCTCATGTTGCCTCATGACTTGGCTGAGAAAATGGACTTCCGTGCTGAGCTGAAACCTGCTGAGCGGCGATGGCTCAGTGAAGAAGTGCAGAAGGAATTTCGGAAAACATCGAGGATCGTTGGCACCGAACCTTGGAGACTTTTCGAAGCCCAAAACTGGCTGCAGGTCCTATGCGATGAGAACGAGCAGAAAATCAACAGACGCCCACCACAGCTCGATTTTGTCTTGGAGATGGGGACCACTGGAGATGTGGGCATACTGCCTGACTACTCTGACCTTTACATCCCTGATGATCCTGATCCCCGCGAAGTGCGAGTGGGTCGTGGCGCGAAGGGCATGAAGCGGCCTGCTGCCGCACCAAGTGGGCCTCCAGTCTTGAAGAGACCAGCGGCTATGCGACGGCCCGCAGCTGCTCGTCAAGATGACGCAGGAGGAGGACATGCAGTGGAAGAGCCAGAAGCTGGCCCAGGTTCGGTAGAAGAGTCTCCTGGCGCTGCATTTCCCGCTGAAGATGAACAGGCAGAGCCACCAGCAACTAGCCAATTATTATTGTTACTATCGATCGTCGTGCTATAATAACAATAATAATAGGAGCGACCTTTAAATATAAAGGGCGCTAGCGCTGTGCGCTGGTTTGTTTTGAATTTTGATGGTTGGTGGTGATATTCTTCACAATAATAGTATTTGATATATATATATATGTATTATATATTAGTGTCAATGTTGTCGGATTATTAGGTTCAAAAGAGATAGAACTGTCAATATGTCGGATTATTAGCATCGAATATCACTACTCTTGAGTTATACTGTTATTTATTGATCATCATAGACAAAGATGGAGTAGATTTGTGTTATTTTTTGATGCGAGAGTGCCAGGCAGCGGAGCCTGCTTTGCCCCCCAACCACACATATGGCTGCTCGAAGTGTCGCAGCAGTTGTGCTGGGTGCAAGCAATGTCGTGAACACGCTCGTCGCGGCCACAGCCGGTACTACTTCAATGCTGCAGGCCATGTGGTGCGACGACCGCCCCCTGTAGATGTCGAGTAGTCAGCCTTGAGCCTTTTTCCATTTAACTCAGATGAGTCATGAGGGTGCCACTTGTCAGATTTCTCCGTCCAGAATGGACTTAGCCTAATAGCCGACCTAGCTTCGATGATGGTTTGGATTTCCCATGAAAGAATGGAAACCTGGCACTGGGCTTTGCCAAGCTTGTCGTCCATTGTCCAGGGACTTTTAAGTGGTGAGAAAAGACTGAGAACTGAGAGCACGATGGCAGATATTTTTCGATAGGGCCTAGAGTCTAGAGTCCACTGAGAACTGTGAGGTAGCGCTTTCTATTTTCTGTGTTTTTGAAGCGCTGGCCCAAGTTTTTCCGTTGTCGCTCCAACTAGCCATTGGTGCGTTTGAGCGATGCCGCTGAGACAAGTGGCAAAAGTCTTGAAGAAACCCAGTGGACCTGAGAAGCTCGCCGTTTCAAAGAAGCCTGCCAAGGAGGCTCATCTCGCAGATTTGCCAGACTTGGCCGTCCCCAAAGCAGAAGACCCTCTGCTCAACGAGATTCGCTTGACAGATTCTCAGGGATACACGTTCCAGGAAGTGCTCAGCTGCTTGAAGTATGAGTATGACGACGAACGAGCATACACGGAGAGCTTCAAGACCAAGGGCTCCTCTGGACAGCCACTTGATTTTTTTCAGAACCATCGTTTTGAAAGAAAGAGCATCTAAGATTTTTTTGGCGGAATTTTCATCGAACGAACAGAATCAGGTACATGAAGTGCAAGGCTGAACCGTGGGGCCAGTGGAAGCGAGATGCGCTTGAGACTCACGGCTGGCGTAAGCAGCCGGAGGGGTGGCGCTGGTCTTGGCAATGGGTCAGTCCTCTCTACAAGCACAACCCTTCGCTGCAGAATCATGTGGACAAAATGGACCACTTCTTGGCATGATATGCCCCTTTTTAGAAGGCCAGCCAGTCACCTACACAAGGTGACCATTATGAACTTGACGCCTGGTAGGCGAGACCGCAGGGAATGAAACAGATTGAGCGAGTCAAGGTGCTGCTGTTTTTTTTGGAGAGACTTTTTTGACAGTATTTTTTTGAGTCACGACCTCAGATGGATGTCGCTGCCGACAGGGAGCAGAGTCACTACCTGCGATCGCTGTCGCTGCCGACAGAGAGCCGAGTCGCGACCTGCGATCGCTGTTTGCTGCCGACAGAGAATAGCTGACAGTATAATAAGTCACTGCCTGCGATCCAGCTTCGCTGCCGACAGGGAGCAGCTGAAAGAGTCACTACCTGCGATCGCTGCGCTGCTGACAGGGAACAGCTGACAGTAAGTAACTGCCTGCGATCCCTCTGCTGCTGCCGACAGTAACAGCAACAGCTGAAAACAGTAACTGCGCTGCCGACAGGGAACACAGTAAGTAAGAGCCACTGACTGCCTGCGAACTGTTTGCTGCGCAACAAAGCACAATTTCGAGAAACAACCGCCAACCAGCTGAAGACAGTCAACATCTGAAACTTCAAGATCTGACATCAGATCTGGTAGCCTAAACCCTAAACCCTAAACTGTGTGGGAAAAAATTGGCGAGAGTCTTGTTCCCCGAGCAGAGTGGACAAACACAAGTCGACTCGCCCCCGGATCTTTTGGGGGGGGCCACATCGTAAATTTCCAAATATCTGGGGGAGAACGGGGACGGTGGCGGATCTCGGGCTGTGATTTGCCGAGATCTGTTCGGGGGTCGATCCCTGGAAGGCTGGGGTAAATCCAAGGGAAACAGAAAAAACTGTGAACTTGACTCTGCGTTGTGAGCAGGCAAGATCTAGGGCAAACCTGCCTAACTTGGATTATCGGCCTGGGTGCGTGGAAGGCGGCGGATCTCAACTTAACAGTTTGTTTTAGGATTTCACGGGATTCAGGTAGTTTTTTAAAAATATTTTTGCGATTCTTCTTCTGGTGTCCCACAACTTTAAATTTTACAGAGTATAGAAGAGTGATACAAGCGACCTTTATGGGCGCTAGCGCTATGCGCTATTAGTGGGATTTTCCTGTGTTGGACATTATTGATTCAGAAGGTTCTAGGGAGTAAGATTCTGTCTCTGGGATACAGACAGTTGATTGACATTAAGTGCAGTTGTTCAACTGTTTTCTGACGCTGCCCTTTGCTCTTATTCTAATGATTTTAATCAAGTTGTTCAAGGTAGAAACATGGTGCAATACAGTTACAGTGTTACATCAGACAGGGAACATCATACCGTTTTCAACCTTGCATGAAGCAATCAGATTTCAATTTTATTTGTACTGCAGCAGCAATGGACAACTCCTTTCGTCAACGGCAGAGAGCTGCCCGCTTGACCTTGCAAACAATCAACAAGAGGTTTGGTCAGGCAGTGGACCAAAAAGAACCAGCTTCAAGCTCAAGTTCGAATTCAAGTGGAGCTGACCTGGGATCACTCCCAGACTCAGCCTTTGAGCTTTCAGAAGGCGTCAAAATTCAAGATGAGAAAATCAAGGCTGAGATGGTCGAGCCCCAGCTCGATGCCAAGGGGGAGCCCAATAGGATCTATTTCAAAGAAGAGTCATCTCCGCTGTCTCCGCCACCTGGTCTGTTTGATGCGCCGTTTGACATGCCCCAGGCACAGCCCCTGCCAAGGACAGAAGAATCAGAAACTGGGCAGTCAAAAGAAGAGCCATCTGATGGCTTCAACCGAAAGAATGATGAGGAAGGCGCTGGGCACAGTCACCTTTCAGACGCTGCTGCCACAGTGACGCCAAAGCTGGCGCCGCCGCAGGCCAACATCATGAGCAACCAGGCAAGTTCTGCCTCAACAGCTGGACCGCTGGATGAAGCTGCTGCTCCTGGTCCTGCAGCACCGGGACCAGCACCAAAGAGGAAAAGAGGCAGACGCGCTGGCCGGAATTTGCAGTACTACGAAGCAGCCATTGCTTTCAGAAATGTTTTGCGGTGGTGATTTGAGACCCTGTCAGGATCTGAGAGGCGAAAAAGAAAAGGACCGTTTCTTTTGGTAGATGTTTGTTTTCAATCAACCATGATGGCAGTCTGTCTGAACATTTCGTTCTTTTCCAAGCCACTCACCTTTTTCAATGAATCGTTCACTCGTCCATGCGTCCATGGCTCAATGCTTTTGCTTTGTGGGTTTGTTAGGGCGACCTTGCGGGCGCAGCGACCTTAGGGGCGCTACTCTCACACTTAGAAGTCTCACTGTTGCTCGGCATGGCTGAGCCCAAGGGCGACCATGAGATGGTCGTTGTCGATGACGAGGACGACGCCGTCGTGACAGAGCGCGATGATTCCTTCTCTGGAATTTGGTTGGAGAAATTCAAATTGAAGATGTCTGACTACCCTTCAGGCCCAGCAGCTATGCTTCAAGCTGAGGTGTCCACCGACGCGGAGTTCCTTGATTTCATTCAGTGGCTCTGGACAGAATTCCCAGAGAAGCCAGATGTGATGTACCAGCACTCGAAGGAATTTGCTGGTGTTGCGGAGGACATGCTGGCTCAAACACCACCTTCGGCCTTCCACCTTTGTGCCTTTGCTTTTGACGACCGGTGCAGCATGAAGCCGCCTCCTGGGAAGGAGGCCGCTGTGACGATGGCAGAGCATATTCTGAAGTATGGCTTCGTGACCTCAGGTGACCCCATTTTGGCCCAACATGTTCCCGCTGACTCAATGACCCAAATGAAAGGAGCCCTTCTCCGTTGCCTTTGTGAAGGGAAGGGCTCGAATCACAACCGTTCTGTCTTTGCTCTGGGTGATGTTCGATGGTGGTGTCACTGGCATTTCAGAGCAGCACAAGTTGCTGTTTGAGAGTTGCAGTGTCATTTGGACCCAACACCTGCAGCAGCATACCAAAGAAGAAGAGGTTCTGAATAACATGAAGTTCTCCCTCAAAGGATCACTGCGAAAGGCTTGCAATGTGATCCAGATCGCGCAAATGATTCGCAGGCTCTTGAAAGAGGGTGGCACTGACTTTCAATCCTTCGTAAGAAAATGGAACACCAGGACGGTGCAAAGTCAGCAGATCAAGGGCCGCAAGGCCACTTCCCTCAGACTTCTCTTTGAAGCCGCTCCACAGGACAGTGGGATGTTTCAAACTGGGGCCGCCGGTTTTCGTTTGACCTTCCTTTTTTCACTAAGTTTCAGTTAAGTTTGACCATTTGGATGATAAACAGACTGACAGAATGAAAGAGGCTTGGGAAATCATAAATGATATGAAAGCTTTAAATATGTCAGTTATTTTTTGACAATGTTTGCAATCTGGCAGGATGTCTTGGACAACATCCTGACCCATGTCGGTGTGATGGGCTGGTCGGAGTCCTGCTGGACCGAAGACAACTTGGCGAGCAAGCGGTTGTTTCCAGGCCATAGTTTCCACACCCGATCTCGCAAGTGGGCCTCCAGATTGAAAGTGACTGATGACAGCTTTCGGTATATGGTCAAGAAGGTTCAGCTCTCCGTAGAGACTTGGCGGCCTGAGAATGGGAAAAGGCCTTGCTACGATCTTCCAACCATGGAAGGTGTTGCTGAAAAGTCCGCTGCCTTGTGTGGAATGGCCAAAGAGTTCTGCAAGGACCACCCTGTAGCCCCTGATGTTGTTGAGGTCAAGATCCTCAAAGCTTGGGCTGAGGGCGATGAGCGCATTGAATTGGAGCTCCAGGCCGCACTCTTGGAGAAGCTGGACCAATTCGAAGTGGGCTTGAACATGCCCTGCTTCAAGGCTTTGTTGGACGATGCAATCTTCAAAGCTCCAGTGTCATCGATGCAAGAGCAGGAATTGCGCGATGCGTTGAAGAGGGATGAGTTCGACAATGTCATCAAGAAGCTCGAATATGACACAAAGGTCTTTGAGATCTGGCAAAGCAAATGTCAAGGTGTCACCGTCTCCCGCAACCACGCCAAGACTGAGCATGTGGTGAAGCAGCACAGGAACACCCAGAAGGCTGTGGAAAATTATGTTGATGGCTGCGTGAGGCTGCTGACGTGGGAAGGTGCGCGTTCCTCTGACACATTGATCCCCCAGATCTTGCAATTTCGCATGGATGCCATCAAGAAGCTCAAGGTCAAGGTCACAGCGAATGAAGTCCCGACAGTGACTTTGCTGAATTGGACAGCTCCTTGCCTCATGCCTGCCAACAGGCAGAAGGACCACTCCTCAGTGCTGAGTTGGGCCATGCACGACAATCTCAACTCTTGTGGGCTGATCTTCTCGCCGGTCTTTTCCCACCACAAAGGGAAGACTTTCTTGGAGGAGAACGCGGCTTTGTCCATTCTGTCTTCAGGAGGGCACAATCTGGACCACCAATTCAGCCTTTTGTTTCAAGAACGTTGTGACGCAAGAGATGGCCGTCCGTTGCTGTACCCGGCCAGATTTGCTTTCCCTGGCCACATTGTGGATTTGGGCAAGTCAGCTCCGTTTTTTCAGTCAGAATTGAGGAAAAATGGAAGGACCGAGGCTTGCAAACAAATGGCCGCCAAGGACCTCAAGGAGATTGAAGATGTGGCTGAGGATTCGCTGCCCTCTGTGACAGGCATTGGCTATGTCAGTGGAGCTGCGAAATACTCACAGTTCGGCTTGCCAGCAGCAGAAGAAGTGTTGAAGAAACTCTTTCAAGGAGCTTCGCTTGAAAATGTCCACGCAGTCTTGCTGTTGGATCTCAATCCTCGGGTCGGTGACTTCGCCCAAGCTTTTTGCAAGTTGCGCAACCAGCTCGGCTGCTCTGCTTCGTTGTTCTACTGCGCTGTGGGTGACAAGGGCAAGGATTTGGATTGGATGCGCCTCAGCCTCATTGAGGATTTGGTGGACAAGGCGAAACATGGCCAGATTCAGATCCCAGGGATGACACCTCACCAGCAAGAGATCAGCTCTGATCTTTTGGAGCCCCTACCGACTTTGCCCATCATGAACCTGTTGGTCACCACTGGAGAGGCAGAATTCAAGAAGCTGCAAATTCCGCACCACCTTGTCAAGAAATGGCGCGCAGACGACGAATTTGGTGATGAATTTGGAAAGTGGTTGGATGGATTTTGTGAGAAGTACAGTGTGACCGAAGAAAGCCAGCCTACTTCTGAAACCACATCTCCTCAGAAGACTACTGCCGGTGGTACTGCTGAAGTTGTGGAGCCTTCCCCCAAAAGGCTCAAGGCTGATGAGGTGGCCGCCGACAAGATCTTCGAGAACGATTTGATCAAGGACGCTTTGCTGTTTGATTGCAAGTTAGGGTCCAAGGATTCCTTAGAATTTCCAAATCCGAGCAGGCAGAAAGCTTTTCTTGGTGAACTTGACCCAGCAAGAGCAGATCCTCAAGAGTGGTGCCTCCCTGATTGGCTTTGGGCGCGGCAATTTCAAGCTTTTCAAGGAAGGCGACCCATTGCCAGAGAAGGCCTTGACATATATGATTCCAGACTCTGACACGCTGGTTTGCTTGAATGGTGCCCTCATGACCATCTCTGATGTTGTTCACCAGCAGCGAAGCAAAAACCCAGAAGCCCAGGTCTGCTACTACGAGACCAATCACGTTCCGGAGACGCAGAAGAAGTACACCTTCAAAATGAAGCACAAAGTGGTTTTCGTTCCGGCTGGCAAGGCTGCCAGTGAGAATGCTGAGAAGGAAGAGAAGGAGGTGGCCCTTGCTGCATCCAACATTGGCGCGAAGGAAGTCCCCACCACCTTTTGCAATCTTCATTGCTGTCAGCTGGTCTGGTGGGTCCGCTGGACCGTGAAAGGGCTCCAGCCTACCAAGGCCATGCTCCACATGACCAAACGCCTGACGCTCCCTGCCGGGAAATCTTGCCAGCTGACTCTCTGAGACACAGGCATTTTGATAGATTTGATTTCTAAATGGCGGGCTCCAGGAGTCGTTCCGGCACCATAGAAGAAATCCGTTCACACCATGATTCATGGATCACGCTCATAATATGTAATATATACTTTGTTCTTAGAGTCTTAGAGATTCATTGCAATCATTTTTTCACAAGTGGTCGGTGCGCAGGATGACGACAAATTTTGTGGAGGGGGCCAGCCAGATTGACACGTCTCAATCCAATAGCTGGCAATCGATCCTGCCAAGAACCGAGCCCAAAGAACATGCTGGCCTCAATTTGACTTTAGTTCGATCGCGCGCAAGTTTTGCAGTCAACCCGTTTCAAACCTTGTACGTCTTGCCAATCAGTTTTGAAGCGCAGGCCAGCAGGGCATGTGAAATTGTGAACTCTGAGTTTGGACCGCAGCCATTTTGAATGAGCAAACTAGGGAACACAATACAAACATAAAAAACCTGACCGTCTCACAGTCCCATGTCCAGCAAGATTTGTTGGGTATACCTGGATACCAAAAATACAGGGGTACTTCAATCATACAATGATGATGAGGCACTGTTGTTATGCGCAATGTCCAGTGGTTTTTAGAATCTAACATCCATTTGGTAAGTATTTTTGTTTGCAAATCTTTACACTTTCTAAGCTTTAACGAGCTACCAATCCCTCGGATGGGCCCACTGAGTCAGAGCCAGAAACGCACTCATGAGGTCAGCTTTAAACATATACATTGGTTTAACCAGCGCAAATCAATGCGCTAGCGACCAGTCTGGGGCGCTTGTTAAACTCCTGGTCTTATGGCGTGACAAGAAATAGTTATCTTTAGGGTTTGTTATGACCTCATGAGTGCAGCCTCCTGCGCTCGGCGTGTCCAAGTTTCACTGGTTTCACCCTCTGACAGAGTTTCACTGAGTCTGAGATGGAATGCTGTTAGGGTAATAGAATTTATCACCCAAACCCAGGAGAATCATAAAATCTTAGAAGGTAAGCGCTACAGTTACACCAGAAGCCACAGACTCTGGGTGCAATGTTGTTTCATGAACACATGTTTGCCAATCACAGAGTTTCAGGAATCATGATAACTAACTAGTTATTATACAATCCGTTCCATGTAATAAGTCAAAGTGTCCATCCAGTTCTAAATCAATCATGAATAACATTAAATATTTAATTTATTAATCTTGGAGAGATTGTCATTGTTGCAGCATCCTGCCACAAAATAGCACGCAGATTTCATTGATGATTGTAGTCAATCAGCCACTTTCAATCCATGACATTAGAACATGTCATGAACCCAATCACATTTTGAGTCCTCTTTCCAACACCTACCTTCAAAAAGTTAACACCTACTTTACAGCAAAAAGCCTTAATAGTGAACTGGATGATCGAATATCAATGTCCTCAAAGTCATGTTGAGAGTTGACGTTGCAAACGGGTACAGCCCCACTGGATATAGTGAAATGTTGCAGAGCTGGTGGCGCTATCATCGAAGCACCTCTGAACATCCACGACTTTAACATTGCTTCATGGCTATCCCAAGTCAAATGCGATTCATGATCAGTCTGTGGAAGAATCGAATCGCTTGGCCAAGAAAAGGCAGAACTGAAAAGAGTTGGTGCGAATATTGCGGTAGAGCAAAGAATGTTGGGCGCGGTCCCAATGTCGAGCTGATCTTCACTATCATCACTAGGTGAGTGACTATTCGAGATTGTGGAGACGACAGGTTGGTTCTGTTGAATATCAGGAGACGGTGGGTCCATGTGCAACTGGTTCTTGGTGAATGCAACCATCCTTTTTATGGCATGAGACTTTGTGGGACCAGACAAATGGCAAAAACTTGCTGGACGTCTGACCTTGGTGCGAGAAAACGGCTGGGGAGGAATTGAGACATCTCGTATACCCAGTTGGTTGTTCTGGTTCAGCCATTCTGGGTGAATCGGAACGTTATACAACCCAGGTGTTTGTCGCAACCATAGGGACCATCTGATGAATTGCCCATGAGACAAGCATCGCCATGTTGGTGACCTGATTGATGGCAAAAGAAAGTTGATAATGGCGAATCACGAAAAGTATTCCCCTTCGCCTCTTGGTTTAGGATGTCGCAATTGTGCACCCTTGGGTTGAGCATGTATCGGATTTGGTTGCGTTGGCAGAACTGTCGCACATCAACCATGTCAATGAAGGGTACACTTTGTTGGGGCTTTTCCTCAGGCATCCTGTCCCAGTAAAGCTTGACGAAATCCTGCAGGTGAGGACTCAGCGAAAACCCCGATGTAAGTAAACTTGGGTATCCCTTGTCAAATGTTGATCGAGAAGGCAGGTCACTATAGCACAAGGATTGTGGGCAGCGAGGAGTGACGGACAGTTTAGTCGGTAATTGACAAGACAAATGGTAAATACCACTCAGACAAGTCTGACCCCTGGAGAAACATCTG